CTCACCCCGCTGACCAGCTTCTGCTTCCTGTTTGCACTAATAAGGCCCTTGGGGCTCACTGGCTGAGCTCAGAGCAGCAGCACACTGGTGTGGCGCTAATCACCACTGACCCACATGACACGGTGAACCTTATAGATCTGTCAGCGTGCTGCGCTCTCGGATTACACTCGACAGTTCACCGGTCATGCTGATTTTGTTTAATGCTCATGAGGGCTCCACTTAGTGATTCGCGGTATCCCTCAGTGTTTAAGGCGTAACTCTGTGTACTGCACATTGCTGTGTTTTTCTGCTTACTGCTCGTTCATTAGTTGCTGAGCTTAATGACATAATGCTACAAAGGTCACCTGTTGAATCCTGCATGTAAAGAACTGTTTTTTTGTCAGGCAGTGAGCAGTTGGTGTGTGTGACTTGTTTTTCATTTAAGGTAACGCATTATTTGAGATCCACAAAGTTTTGCTGTTGCACATTTATCGTGTACAGCTGCATCTGCATCAATTAATAAGAAATGACTCATCGTTTCTCATCTAATGTGTCCTGATCTGTGTGAGTCACGAGCAGTAAAGTGGGAGTGTTTCCTCCATATGAAGAAAGGAAATCAATATCTAATGATGATAATGAGCTCTGGGTTTTGCTGCTGAGTTATTTACAAACCAAACACTGTCACGATTTCAGACACAGATATGAGACATTATCTGGAAACTGAAAATACGACAGAGCCACGTCTCTCATTCCACCTCATCTCCCCTGATAAAGAAATCAAGCTCGGTGAGCACAGACCTTTAGTGTGCATTATTCATTAACTTAAAAAACAAAAGTGGGTTCAGAGGTGAATCCACACGAGTCCATTTAATCTGGAGCCAGGCACTAGCAGCAGGCAGGACACCGTGTGCGTTATTGTTGTACGCCGCACAGCCTTACATAATACGCAGCCTTCAGAATATTGTGTAATATTTTCAGATAAGAGAAGAGAAAAGTGTGCAAGGGCAACAAATAGCTGCAGTATGTCCACGTGCTGTACAGACTTAGCGGTGGATCATTTGGCGATGGTGTCACATTCTTAGTACGCCAGCAAAACGCATGACATTAGCAGTGAGGAGGGATCTGTCTCTGATGGTCGAATGTACAGCCCGTTTTAGAATGACTAACATAACCTGGTGTGACCTAAGCTCGTGTACTCTATGTTCTCCACGAATGAATCAACTGTCTTCTTCTCTGCTGCTCTTTAACGCCTCTTATACAGCTCATCTGATCCTCAGTAAACATGCAGCGGTATGCAAAAACAAGTCCGCAGAACTAAACTAAATGCTGCTGTGAGTAAATAACCCAGACCAGCTTCTGAAAGATCTGCATCTGCTTATTCACGGTCTTAAACGATAACGTCTCTGAACGCTACTTCCTCCAGTGCTGAGCGCAGGGATCCGGCTCAGGTTTCGGAGGCCTCGGCTCAGCTGCTGGTTTCACACTCCTGTGACAGTAAACAAGGTCTCCAGAGAGGAGAGGTGAAAGGGTAATCTGATCCCACCTGCTGACACAGCGTCCCTGTAACTGGGGATACAACTAATTCTGTTAGACAGACGTAAATTGTTTCATTGACACAACCAGTTTGAATAATTCATGACCTGACACAACTCCCACTCCTATCACTTTGCAGCAAACAGTCGCTGGGTGGGATCAGCTGGACGCTCAACTTCCCTCTGTCGAGTCTATTAAAATGACAGTATCCACTTAAAAGTTGAAGGATTTTTATTTGTTTGTTTCAGGATTGTTGGGTTTTATTATAGTGGAAAAACAACTGATAAACATGAAACATGCAGTGTTTTTGTACGCACACACACTAACACACAGCGACACACACACCTTTGGAACCAGAGCCTCTACAGAGTAACTGATAATGGACCATTGTGCACCATGTGGTCACAGGAGCTTGATGATTGAAAACCAAATTAACTTTCCTTCTGAGTGACTCTTGAGTAAGCTCAAGCCGTCAGCGGCTCACAGGTTCATACCAGTTTCAAATTCTTGTCTGCTTTAAATGAGCCGGAGTCACTCAGACGTCTTTTTAAAGGTGTTGATTTTAAGGTGTGTGTGAGCTGTTGGATGCAGTGAAGTGTAATTAATATAGAGAGCAGCTGAAACAACACACATCATTAGAAACTCTATGTATCTTCAGTTTGCAGTTTGTTTTCTGATATCACAGTGCCTTTGTATTCATGTACGAGAGTTTGCGTGTTTGTCGAAATGCCTTTGAAACACTCATGAAGAGGCCGTGACACAAAACCTCAAGTATTCGGCTCTGATCCTGATGGAAGAGTTTAAGATTAAATTGGGAAATGTTCTGCTAAAGTGAGTCATCACTTCGAGGAAATTACCTCCTCAAGGCTCTCTTAGTTTTTGATAAAACCACAGCAAATGTATCTAAATGGCCACCATTAATGTCTGAGCATGAGAAGTGGGCTATTTCTGTTTTACCTCCGGTCAGCCGAGACACTGTAGTTTAGACACGACCATCAAATTATTTCACAAATACTTATTTTTCCTCTCACCCATAGTGCTATTTATCAATCTAGATTGTTTTGGTGTGAGTTGCTGAATCTTGGCTACAGAGATGTTTTGCCTTCTCTCTAATGTACTGGAACTAGATGGCACTCAGCTTGTGGTGCTCAAAGCACATTGAAAAACAACCGCAGGTGACCAAAGTGCTGCACAAATCAGAAGAATGGCACACAAATATATAGCAATATAACATGTACACAAATATAAAACAGAATAATGGCGGTAAGAACAGTTACATACATAAAAAGATTGTAAAATATTAAAACCACTACGAACAACCAAAGGCCATTGAAAACATGTACGTTTTAAGATTTGTCTTAAAAGTGTCAATGTGGAGGGAGCATTTGATTGAGAGTGAAAGGCTATTCCAAAGCAGCTACTGCAAAGGCACGATCTGTCTTACCCACCAGCCTCGATCGCGGAACACTCAAAAGACAAAAGACAGAGAAGATTGTAGAGGTCGGGAGTTGGAGTAGGGGCAGAAGGTACTGGGGTGCCAGCCCATGTACAGTATGGCTTTGAAAACAAATAAAAGAACCTTAAAATCAATCCTGTATTTGATAGGTAGCCAGTGCAGGGAAGCTAGCACTGGTGTAATGCTGTCTCTTTTCCTGGCACCAGGGAGGAGTCTTGCTGCAGCATGATACAGCAAAATACATTAAAAAAAACTCAACAGCAATGTCACTTTCCAGAAATCATGATCTGATTAATCAAGATAATCTACTGACCTTGTTGTAAGCAGTTTCATGATCAATAGAAAATATTTTCTTTCTACCAAACTACACCCGCCAACCGTATCACCGCTGTTACAAGACACCTAATGTTATGCCTGACTCGTTACCTGGCACTCCTAACGCTGGTAACTGTTACCTTTAACTAAGCTTCGTTATTTCCCTGCGGTGTGCAGTTGGATTTGAACATATGCCTCACTTACCTAATGTGTGTAGCTCTCTGAGCTGTCTAGGGGGTAAATGGGTTACTCACCCTTCATCAGACCCGACTGCTACTATAGGCGGCCACCTCAACCCGACGCTTCGGGCGTCCCCTCCAGTCAACGGCCAGGCAGGGCCAGCACAAGCAGCATTGTTGTGATTTTAGTTCATGGGGGGGTTGAACACAACCCCAGATCAGGTGAGGTGTGTAGTAGCGTTCCCGGATCGGTGGATTATGTCTCTGGATTTCTGAATGTCTGTCGGAATCTTCTGCAGAAATGTGGCGTGGCAGTCTGTCGGTGTCTCCAGCAGCCAGCCTCGACTCCAATCAACCGCCGCCTTTTCAGATGTGTCAGCTCCTTGGGAGTTACCCAATACCCCAAGTGGAACATCAGCCTCTCCCCGCTTTCTAACTCCACCCCTAACCGTACACCTAGCCTCCTAATTATGTGACATAACAACCGCGCAGAAGGAAGCGTGCATCTATGCTAGCTCACCTTGCACCACTGAGCTAGCTAACGATACAGCTCAGCCAAGGAGGACGCCATTTATGTTTACATGTTGTGCTGTCACCAGCATGACATGATATGTTTGGCAGGTGAAGTTCAGTAAAAAGAAATTAGTTTCCACATGAAACTGCTCACAACAAGGTCTGCAGATTATCTTGAGTCAACCTGGTCTTATTCCAAAGTTGTCGAAATCCAGCGCTTGGGCAGTGACTTGCAGCGTCAGACGCTGACGAAAAAAACTGTCCTTTAACGTCAGCATGATAAGCGGGCAGTCACTGTTATAGTTTAACAGCGGTCGGCGGCAGGTGGAAATGCGGCGGGACAAGAAACTAAAGTTCAGGCACTGAAACTCCGAGTAGAGTTGGCTGGAGGGATGGGGGATGCATCCAACAAACAGCAACCTTCACATGGGAGAGCGGTGTTTGCGTCCCATAAGATTATAAAGCCAAACCCAGTTATTTTCTTAAACCTAACCACATGTGCTAGTTCTTGGAGGAAAAAAACGTCAATTCAGGTTGTTGTACTAATGTACTGTGTTTATTTTAAAAAGAGACGGTATGTAAATGATACATTTCCTGTGAGAACGGAAGTGTATTTTGAAAGAAGATAATGTATGTAAGAGGCAGAAAATCTTTCCTGGTTTTAGGGTTCAGGTTCAGGTTACTTCATTGATACCCAAGGGTAAACTAGTTGCGCAGTTGAGAGTCAAAACATCCATCACAGATTGAGCAATCAAAACAAAACATAAAACATAAAATACAAAATTCCTGGTTTTATTGTTTGCATTCACCCACTTCTTCACGATATCCACAGTACAGATGATTCATTGTCAGAAATCTTATTGTGTAAATATTTTGTGAAAGCACCAATAGTCAACCCTATGATATCATCTCAGTATCAATATCAAGGTACAGTATTTGATAAAAAAAAAAAAAATTAGATTTTCTTTATATCGTTCAGCCCCAGTACTGATTATGTGTTTGTTTTTGTTTTTGTTTACATGCAGGGAGCCTGATATTCCAGCCTGGGCTCCTCTACTCTACCAGCTCCAGGTGCTGGACGTCAGAGAGAAACCGGACCCGTTAACTCTGCCCATTGATGACCGCATCCGCATCAGCAACCAGAAACGAGAGCGAGGAAACTTTCATTTCCAGAGGGAGGAATACAGCATGGCTGCCAGAGCCTATTGCATGGCTCTGGATGTGCTGACCACAGGCAGCAGAGGTAACCCAGCATCAAAACCTGAAGTTATTCATAGAAAATATTTACATACTGTCACCTGTACCAGGAATGTGTTGTCATAGCTGATGTGAGCATTAGAGTGAAAATGGGAATAGAAAACCGCACACACACACACACACACACACACACACACACATCAAAAACATGAAACATGACATTTGTTAGAGACCTCAAACAAAACATCTCCACATCAGTCTCAGCACAGAGTGACATAACAGTTTAGTGGCTCTCCTCCAGTCTGCCACCACCCTAATCACACCATCACCATGCAGAGCCACATCTATCTGAGCCCAGAGCCACGATAAATATTTCAGCTTAATTCTTTTGCATAATCAAAGCTAATCAACTTTCATATTATTTCCACCTCCTTAATCGCTCTAATCATTGACGAGGCAGGGTGGACCCGAGAGGGAAATGTGATTGAACAGTGAAGAGAAAAACATGGACTGCTTCTCAATGCATCAATGATGTCGGACTAGTGAGTGAACTAACTGCGGCACTGAAGAGAGGAGTTTATCAGGGCATCCAGATCATGTCATTAGTGGATGAGAAGATGACCAGAAAAAAAATGAAGCAGAGACATCAACATCTTGTTGATGTTGGGGCGGATTTTGGGCTCATCTCTTTTATATGATGCAGGGAGATAAGAAGTCACTCTAGTTCAGGGGCTGTCAGAGTTTTCATGACTGTGTGACACTAGTGAGATTCCACTAGTTGTCACTGAAAGTTGTCATTTCTGACCTGTCAAACACTCATTGGGTGGCATTTTTGATAACATACTATACTATGACGGTTTTTTTATGATATTTCACGACATACTATACTATGACATTTTTTTATGACATTTCACGACATACTATACTATGACATTTTTTTATGACATTTCACGACATACTACTATGACATTTTTTGATGATTTTTGACGACATACTATACTATGACATTTTTTGATGATTTTTGACGACATACTATACTATGACGTTTTTTTATGATATTTCACGACATACTATACTATGACGTTTTTTTATGATATTTCACGACATACTATACTACGGTGTTTTTTCATGATTTTTGATAACATACTATACTATGACTTTTTTTCATGATTTTGGACGACATACTATACCATGACATTTTTTCATGATTTTGGACGACATACTATACTATGACATTTTTACATGATTTTTGATAACATACTATATACTATGACATTTTTTGATGATTTTTGATAGCATACTATACTATGATGTTTTTTCATGATTTTGGACGACATACTATACTATGACATTTTTACATGATTTTTGATAACATACTATACTATGACTTTTTTTCATGATTTTGGACGACATACTATACTATGATGTTTTTTTCATCATTTTGGACGACATACTACACTATGACATTTTTTATGATTTTGGGCGACATGCTACATTATGACTTTTCATGATTTTGGACGACATACACACTATGACATTTTTTGATGATTTTTGACGACATACTATACTATGACATTTTTTGATGATTTTTGACGACATACTATAATACTATACTATGACGTTTTTTTATGATATTTCACGACATACTATACTATGACGTTTTTTATGATATTTCATGACATACTATACTATGACATTTTTTATGATTTTGGACGACATACTATACTATGACATTTTTTATGATTTTGGACGACATGCTATACTATGACGTTTTTTTATGATATTTCACGACATACTATACTATGGTGTTTTTTCATGATTTTTGATAACATACTATACTATGACTTTTTTTCATGATTTTGGACAACATACTATACTATGACATTTTTTCATGATTTTTGATAGCATACTATACTATGACTTTTTTTCATGATTTTGGACGACATACTATACTATGACGTTTTTTTCATCATTTTGGACGACATACTACACTATGACATTTTTTATGATTTTGGCGACATGCTACATTATGACTTTTCATGATTTTGGACGACATACACACTATGACTTTTTTTCATGATTTTGGACAACATACTATACTATGACATTTTTTGATGATTTTTGATAACATATTATACTATGTCGTTTTTTTTATGATATTTCACGACATACTACACTATGACATTTTTTATGATTTTGGACGACATACTACACTATGACATTTTTTGATGATTTTTGACGACATACTATACTATGACGTTTTTTTATGATATTTCACGACATACTATACTATGACATTTTTTATGATTTTTGACGACATGCTATACTATGACGTTTTTTTATGATATTTCACGACATACTATACTATGGTGTTTTTTCATGATTTTTGATAACATACTGTACTGTGACGTCTTTTTATGATTTTGGACGGCATACTATACTATGACTTTTTTTCATGATTTTGGACAACATACTATACTATGAAATTTTTTCATGATTTTGGACG